ATTTAACTTCTATAAAAGTCTAAATTGAATTGAATCTAAAATGATTGAAGATCACTTATATGCCAACAACTTAACGAAGCGAATTTTCATAATAACGTCGTTTAATTTTTATCTAAATTAAATATTGGGGAAGTGTCAGATATCAGCTGATATCGTAGGGTAGACAAAATCTCAAGCCTAAATATATACATATAACCAATCAGAATGACAATTTCTCAGGAGGGGGGGGGGGGCTCTATGGTAAACTGATCTCAGCTAATATCTGACACGTCCCTAATATCTACTTATTTAATTATAGACCAAAAGTAAGTTAGCAGTACCAACCATACCAATCAATCCCAAAATACCAGAGCATTTCAAGAAACGGTAAAATTATTTTCTTCTATAGTTATTGCAAAGCCTAGAGGTTTTGCGTTGGCAAAGTCGAAAACTTTAAAGAATCTAATATTTATTCATTTAGATAATCATGTGGGAAATTTTTATTCAGCAAACCTATCCCTTTTGTGCAAAATCAAAAATACAATTTCAAATACCAATATGACCAAAATACAGTAGTATGTAACGAAGAAAAACGATGATCAGTAAAAAAGAATTTATGGTATTTTTGCAACAGGATAGTAAAATATTTTATCAGAATTATCTTAATCTAATAAAAAAAAAATACAAATATATAAACCGATTTGCAAAAAGCACTAACAAATATTAAAATAACTATGAATTTGGTTTTTTTTTTTAAATAATAATTTCGCGGCTGATACTGAAATTTAGACCTATTTTTATATTAAATTTTAAAATTTTGGGGTTTATTTCCACTTTTTTTTAGAGTTAGGTTAGGGTTTAGAGTTAAATTTGATATTAAAGAGTGTGGATGGATTTTAGCAGGGCTTCTACTTTTAAATCGAGACCCAAAAATTCAGCATCAGCCGCGACAATAAATTATATTTATATATATTATTGTTCGTAATCATGTGGCGACTTCGCCGCCTAGTTATATAATAAGCAAAAGTTTATATATATTCCGAACAGTCCGTTCTTATATGTAAAATTGGACAGAAAGCTCAGTTCTCAAAGAGGTATTATATTACTAACCCAAACTTTGTAATATATTATAATTAGATTCTATAATTGTACAATGATGCATTTATTGGGAAATATCTATATATGTTTAGATGCATGCAATCAAACTCAGTTTTCTTTATATTTAGGATGCATAGTAATAACCAAGTCAATCAAGCACATCCTTTTAAGTTGATAGTGCAATAATCTGTTAAATTTGCGCGCATCAAAACTACACAAATTCTAATTTTCAAAACCATCTAGCTAATTCAATTGAGATGCAAAACATTGGGACGTACTATATTAAAGTTTTTTAATTATAACCTACTGTAAATGGCTGGATACAAGACCCGGGTCTGTTACATTTCACCAATTTTAAAATCTATAATTAGACCCGCGGGTCTCTTGTATGGTGTGGATCTGATAATTGGAAGGTTTGTTCTATTTACATAGCTTTTTTCATAGTTTTTTCCTATTTGTATACCCGGGTCTTTTACATTTTACCGAAGCTTTATCCTATATTGTAGACTCGGGTATAGTACATAATTGATCTACTATCTAGGGGGATCTTGTATCCGGCCATTTACGGTAATTATACAGTAACTTGCCATTTTCAAATTTGACAAATTATATTTTGTATTGTAGTTACGGTAAAATGATATAATTATAACTGTCATTACACTATAATTTAATTTTTTTTATTACTCAATTTTTCTTAACAAACTTCAAATAATAAGTTATATAATATTTGTAGCCTAATGTTTATTACATAAAGTAAAAATTATAAATTATCTTAAAAATTGTCAATAGATAGTTATTTAAAAAGTGGATGTTAAACATTTAATTCGATTAAAGGGGTTGGACAAATTCATTATAAAAAGTTTCTGAAATATTTTTTAGCTTAAAACAGTTAATAATAGTTATAACACTATATCTGTTATATATGGTACATTAGTATATAATTTTGCCATAATAATGATCATACTGTAATTTGTCGAATGCCATTATAACTCATAGAACAATCTTTTTTATTATTAAATTTATTATTTTGGAAAGATGTTTTTTCTTTATTTTTTAATCAGTTTATAACATCTAGAATAATGAACTCAAGTTTTTTAATTAGAATGTGTTTATAATTTAGTAAGAATCAAAATAAATATTTAAAATTAGTATTTACGGCACCTGACAGCAAGAAACATCCAATTTTTTTTAATAGTGCCAAAATTTGAGATTTATACTCAAATCTGATTGGCTATTTTCGTGTAACAAGATTCTGATTGGTTAAAAATCCATAACCCGATTTTTTTTTTTGATTACATATAAACTTTTGTCTATTACTCAGTGGTCTAGAAAATAAATTTGTATATGAAATAAACAGTCAATAAAATAAACAGTCAATAAAATAAACAGTCAATAAATTAAACTTGTCTATGACCTAATTGTCTGTTAAATAAGATCTTGGGTCAAAATCCTGAACAACAGATTATCGAAAGAACATAACACCAACTAAATTGGTCAGCATTATAACTAGTGCCGGCTAACTTTATCGGTATTGTGTTGTTTCAGGAATCCGTTTTTCGGGATTTTGACCCAAATTCGTTAAATAAGGTGTCTGTGAAATAAACTTCTATGAAGTGATACGGACCCCTTAAATACTACTAACGATTACTAATTGAAATTACTACGTCGTTACGTCACTAAAATCTCATATATAAAATCATACAAAAATCAAACGGATCAATCCACAAATCCATAATCAGTCAAATCGCAGGAACAATAGATAAATAAATCAATAATCAATAAATCATGACAATGCATCATACGACTCACATATCCCGTGATCGAGACAAAATGCTGCTCCGATACTATCGTATCGGGCAGTTAATTAAATATGGCGCGCCATGGCATGTCAATTTAAATATGGCGCGAAGATGGTGAGCCAATCACAAGAAAACTTAGTTCCAATACATTTTCTCAAAAATATGTAGTTTTCGGCACTATGGCATTAATAAAAAAGTTCTAGAGTTTGTCATGGGTGCACAGTGGATCAGATAACCGTGTGAAGTTATGATTATCACACGTCTACTACTGGGAAATTTCGGAATGTTGGTCGGGAATTGATTTTTTAGTACTAAATCTTCATAATCTAAATTTTGTAGAAATATTGTATGAATGGTGCACCATACGGCATGCCATGCACCAAGATATATTAATGGCGTGTTTGTGTTACATAGCTATTTAATTATATAATATTATACGTCATAGTACAGTTGATACTGTCTAATTGCGTACTGTCTAATTGCATATATGGTTCTAATGACTTAAATGCATAAATTGTCTATATGCATAAAAAGTCTCTGATGGATAGTATGCAATTAGATAGTATCGAATATATCTAGCTATTCGTTAAAAATTGGGGCACATGATTATGTGCTAGTTACACAAGTTGAATCAATAAACATCGGGGCATTCACTTATTTGCGCCGGTAATACAAACCTCTAAAAAGGAAATGGCCAATCAGAGAACACATTTCGGGTATTCCGGATCAGCCCGACATAGAATGCGAAAGAAGAAAAAAGCAAAGAAAGCGAAAATACTCAAAAACTAGCGTTTAAATTGACCTTTGTGGACTGCTAAAAAATAACGGGAATGAAATTTTACATATAAGAAACTTCAACTTATCGTTAAAGCCCACAACCCTAACGTCCTAATCCTAAACTTCTATTTTTACGCACTTAGTTTATTTACAAAATCGATTTCCTTTTTTGGTTTGTGTTACCGGCGCAAATAAGAATCGAAAACATCGGGTGCATACCGGGAGACAATTTTACCGATATGTACTCGTTAGTCTGTCAAATACCTGCTGAATATTGGCAGCACATTTGTAAGATATCAGGAGTTAGATCAATATCAGTAACATAACAGCACAATATTGGAATTCTTGATATCTTATTCTTAGCACTCTGGGCCTAAAAGTGGTATCCCAATATTTTTTTTGTTATGTTGCTGATATCGATCTACCTCCCCAATATGCTGCAGATATTTAGCAGACTAGCGGGAAACTTTTCTCTCGGTATGCACCCGATATTTTAAATAATAAACAGTTTGGTTAACATTATTAGATTTGCGCGCTGCTACCAGATACGAATCCAAATTTCTGTATTAGCGTTAGTGACTTACGTAAAACGTTATTTCAGAAATCATTTGTTCTTACATAAGATTATGTAAGATGATCTTCTGTGCATTGCTAGAATTGTACGTAAACTTTACGCGATAAAAAATGATCTATTTTAATATATGTTAGTCGAAGTTACTCTTTTAATTGAAACCTAACCACACATTGAAAAATATTTCAAATAATCACAATAATTACGCATATATAGTGATGGGACCTCCTGAATTGTTAATAATTAATAATGATTATTAATATATGGCGCAATTAATTAGTAAATATTTTCTCAAAAATTGATGATATATTGGCGGACTAAATTTCTATTAAATCCATTGGTAGTTTATTTAATTCAATATATCGATATTATTAGCGATGATCGAAGTAATTATATAATAATATTAATATTAATGACGCACGCATTATTAATTTTTCATTATTAACTAAGAACTCAGAGGTCCCATCACTACTAAGCTTGTTGTTGAAACTAATTAGTTTCACCAAAAAACGGTACATCAACATTGCACCATCTGGTGCACCATTGAAAATTAGTTTTTTCTATAACTATCAGTACACTAGTTTCACCAAAAAACGGTGCACCAACATTGCACCATCTGGTGCACCATTGAGCTTAATCACTGCGCATATATGCAAATATTTTTTTTTACTAAACCAAGTTTCAATATATTAATCTCTACTAATTGTATTAGATAGCTTGTTGGCTCAATTCTCTTTTACTATAGCTTTTTCGTCATTCATTTCTATTCAAACTAAATGTCACTACCCTCGACAAGTACCGATGATGCCAAACGTGAACAAGCAATTATGGTCTATAATCTTGACTGGTCATCAACTTCACTTGGCCCTATGGACTTATGGGAACCCACTATCAAAACTGCTATGGTACTTTAAACTCAATATAAAATTTTTAGTTTGCTACATTCGAAAATTCATTATATAGAGATTCTTTACAAAGAAAATCAACTACATATATATTTTGTGTTTATTTAAAAATATATAATATATAAAATCACGTTTGTTAATGTAGTGTATGTGCCTCAATTCTGCGATTCCCATCTGTCTCTTTCTCAATCCCCCAGAATGGATCTTTCTGTATAACGATGGTAATCTATTTCAGAATTTACTTTTTTACTATTTAGTTATTCAATTTGCTTTAATATCTAATCTACTTGTTTATAGCGTTTTCAGGACTTTTACGACAGAATCATCCATATGGTTAATAAACATTAGTCTCACATATTTATAATCAACTTTACCAAAATAACACCCTTATTAAAATTAATAGCATTGGGAAAACCAATGAGAGATGTATGGTCCAAACCATTATGTGATACCGTTATTGCACAATTAGAAGAGTGAGTTGAGTAATCACTTAAATAAATTTTTATTCGTGATGTCTAAACTTTTTGCAATATATTTAGAGTAAGAACGACAGGAAAAGGAAGGTTTAAAAAAGATGAATTATATGAATCAGAGCGTGTTGGGTATACTGAAGAATGTTATTATGATTATACATTTAGTCCAATTTTCAAATCAGATGGTACAGTCTGTGCTATATTTGATATTGCACAAGAAACTACTCAAAATGTTTTAAATACTAGAAGATTAAAGATACTGAACGAATTGGGAAAGCGGATTCCTGGTTAGTATTCATAGTTATACTGTTTAATTATTGGTTTAGATTATTTTCTGTTAACACATTTATATCGTCATATTATTTCTTAAAAGAAATTGTATCTTTAGAAAATGTCTGTCATATTATGAAGAATGTATTAAGCAATAGTATAGATATTTCTTATGCATTAATTTATTTTGTCGAACGCAAATTAAATACTAGTTTGGAATCGTTGATCGCCCGTCTGATCTCTACGACCTTCGATAAAGATGGTAAAGATGGAAGGCATATTCCTGATTATTTACCAGAAACACCTGAATTAATTTATTTAACCGAAGATGCTAATAAGAACTACGGCACATATATAGAATTAAAACGGGATACTGGGGCTTTATTTTTAAAATGTGAATCTTGGCCAATACACCTTGTAATTAAAGAAGAAAGGCATTTAAAAGTTCTTTTAAAAGATGAATCTCGAGCTGTATTATTACCGATAAAGATTTCACTTTGTGAAGGGCAACATTTATCAGCTGTGTTAATTTGTGGTGTTAATCGATTTTGCACACTCGATAAGAAATATATGGATTTTTTGCAAGTATGAAAAAGTTTGCACAATTAATGTTCATTTATTTATATGATACTCAAACGCGCAAAACTTGTTAGCTAGTCGCAAGTCAAATGAATACATATTTATTACATGGGCAATCAATAGAAGAGGAAAAGAAACGATCTAAAATATTGGCTGATTTAAATTATCAAAAAATGATATTTTTTCAAGGCATTAGTCATGAACTAAAAAGTATTAATTATTATTAATTTTCCTTTCAGAAATTTATTGCATAAATAGACTTATTATTATTATTATTATTATTATTATTATAGCACCATTAACCTTAATGCTCTCACCTCTTGATGACGTAATTAATGCTTGTCCACAAGAAGCTTCAATAATGTCGTATCTTCAAACTATACGACGTAACGGTCGTCGATTACTCAAACTTATTAACATTTTATTACAAGTAAGTTACAAAATTCTTAAATATTAATAACAACAATTACTAAACCTAATTTTTGGATCTTTTATATTTACTTCATTTCTTGCAAAGTTTTCAAATATAGAAACAAATCAATTAGAAGCACACTATCGTGAAACCAACATAGCTGAATTTACTCGAGAATTAGCTTCAGATTTCAAAAATATGGCTAAAACATTAGGCTTGGATTATAATATCAATATTCCACATCATGATGAATTAACTCAAGCAGTAGTCTACTTGGATCGTGATATGTACGAAACCATTGTTTTTAATCTTTGTAAGCGTTTTATAAGCATATATGTCACAAAGAATATAAAAATATATTGTTTTTTCTACAAAACTATATTATTAAAACATGCATACTAAGGAATTTTGTTTGTTAAAGGTTCGAACGCATTAAAGCATACGTGGAATGGATCTATAACAATTAGTCTATATTCTGATTATAAAAATAATAAAAAAATGGTAGTTCTTGAAGTTTCAGATACAGGTCAATATTTTTTTGTTAAATTTATTGCTCTATATACTATACGGAAACTTTGAATCTATTAATGCGCAGTAACTGCATAGTAACTATGTAGCTACGATTAAATTTAATAGTAATTATGTAATTACTACGTCGTTACTATGCAGTTACTGCATATTAAGATATTAAAGTTTCTGTAAAGTAACTATTTAAAATGCATACGTATCTCAAAACTGGATTACTACTACATATCCGGATTGTTTTTTTAAAATCCAGGTATTGGTATTCCGGAGACTGCCCTTCCAAATATATTCCAGCGTTTTTATCGTGTAGTATCTCAAGGTTCACGTAGCCACGAAGGTACTGGAATAGGCCTGGCTCTCGTAAAAGAGTTTATTACACGCCATAGTGGAGATATCACTGTGACTTCAATAGTAAATCATGGAACGACGTTTAAATGTTGGTTTCCATTAGGATGTAAACACTTACCAACAAATCAAATACACTTTAACAACGTTGAAAACCAAATAAACCATGGTCGAGAACTATACACTAATCGGCAACTTTACTTAGAAGAAAGTTCTCAATGGATAAAAAGTAATATATCAAAAGCTCAATATGATATAACGGATCAAGAGTCAACCAATGATCAGAATATGAACAATAAAACAATGCTAACTGCAGATGATAGTAAAAAATATCAAATTTTAATCGTTGATGATAATAATAATATGCGGTAATATTTTATTTGTTAATCATATTAGGAATTTTATAAATTTGTTTCTTATTATTAGCAACGTTTTATAGAGATTATTTAGTGGATTTATTAAAAGAATTTGACATATACTGTGCTTGTGACGGCCAAGATGCTATTCAAGTCTTAAAAAGGCTTAATAAACTACCTGATTTAATACTTAGTGGCAAGTAAATTATAATCGTGACGTCCCTATTTAATATACATAAACGAATATTAAATCATACTGAATTTAATAGATGTCATGATGCCAAATATGACTGGACACGAGTTATTAGATGTGTTAAGATCTAATGTAAAAACTCAACTGATTCCCGTAATATTGTTATCTGTATATGCTGAAGATTCTAAAATTCAAGGTAATTAACTATGAAATTATTAGTAATTTAAGTGTATTTATTTTATTCATCCTTTTTTTTGATGTATTTCTAGGTTTGAACAAAGGAGCAGATGACTATTTATCAAAACCATTTTCTTCTCGGGAATTAATTACCCGCATTCGCACTAATATTAAGCTCTCACATTTTCGTCATAAAATATTATTTCAGCAATATAAACAAGAAGAGACAAAACAATTATTGTTTTCAATATCAAACAAGATCCTTTCCAAATTAAATCTAGATGAAACGCTATTTTATGTTGTTAAAGAAATCTATTATAGATTGCCATGTGAAAGAACGTTTATAATTTTAAATAAACAATCGGAATCGAAAAGTAATAAAATAGTTGCATTATATGAGGGCTCTGAAAGTATAACGCCGATAACCGACCCATTCATGGAATTTAGAATAAATGAAAATGATTCACAAACATTTATCAATAATTCGGGAACAGATATTTATTTGGATAGATATTGTGATCATGTTAATAAAAATGTATCTGAATTATCTGTAGGATTAAGATTAAATGATAATTATTGGGGATGGATAAAAGTTCACAGATCTCCAAATTCTATTTGGCTCGATTCTGAAGTAGAGTTATTACAACAAACATCTAATCAAATAAGTTTAGCTATTACTTATTC